ATAAATTAAATATCACAATATCTATCCCCGTACTTAGAAAAATACAGATGAAAATTTTTTAAGTCCATCCCTATCCCCGTCTTATACTATCCATATACTCACCTTATGGGATAAATTTTGCAAATAACTACCAAATATGGGTATCTTACTATCCCTAGGTTTTAAGAAATTGAGCGCAAATAAATTTACACATTGCCACCCGGGACGCAATCCTCATCCACAACATAGACATAAAAATGACGATATCGTCAAAATGATAAGAAATAGAACCAGGATCTCATTTTTCTTCCTATATTCCCTTTGATAAGTCAAAAATAAGGAATGAGGCGTAAACCTGAACTCTTAGATCCAACAGGGAGGTGATGCAATGCGTGATCAGGAGGCCAAAACCTCGTCATCAAAATTGTAGAGCAGAAAACAACGTTCACCTATGATATCAAAAGTGCTAAAATACAAAACTCGTACTTAGGAAAGGTAATGTCATCGAGGGAAAAGGGAAAAAATCAAAATTTTCTCTCAAAAATTTTGTTCTCGTCTTTCATTTCCTCTCGTTTTGCATGACACTTCAATAAGAGCAGAGCCATTGTCAACCACTTTCCCAGAGATTACAATAAATGAATTAATCAGCCTGACACCGGAGAAAGGAAAGGCAGAAAGGAGATTTATAAGTCTAAGCAGAGAACTATCAAAAAACAATGTAGGCAGGAACATTTGCTGAATCCCCCTTTAGAACCCAAAAACAGATGATGTCTCCAATGTTTTGTGTTCAAAGAATTTACCTTGGAAAATGTACATCTGTAGAATTAGATTGAACAAATTTAAGTTATTCACAGGGAAGACGCAATTCATCACAAGATTTTATAACAATTCTGATTTAAGCTAAACAGATTATTCATCTATACCTCTTTGTCCACGGAACCACATAATATTTACAGGATGAGCAGCCTGAAACATACACAAAAGCAAAGATCATAAGAACTACGCAGAGAATGACAACCAACTGGAACACATGTTTGGATTTGTTTATGAAAACCAATTTCTGTTTTTCGAAAACAGAAAATTTGTTTGATAGCTTGTATTTAAAAACTGTTTTCAGCAAAATTTTCAGGATATTCTTAGAAACCAACAAAGTAGCATTGGATTTCTTAGCAATTATTTTTGCTCAAAATGAAAATGATATGAAAACAATACGAGTTCTCAACATTTTTTCAGTGCTTTCTGTTTTTGAAAATGAAAATGAAAATGAATATGAAAATGAAACATGAAATAGAATGCAAATTCAACAGCAAGTATTGGTACCTCTAAAGAACAAAATTTGATTGCCAGTACATTGTGAGTAGGAGAACAGAAGTACAAAGCATATCAGACTCCCATATTGACTACGATGCTATCTGAAAACAAGGCTTCCATTTTGTTGAAGTCTCAAACTTTCAATGAATGACTGGTAAAATGATTTCAGTGCCTTGATGTCATTACCCTGAAAAGAGAAACCATCAGACAGAGAAATGAGTATCTCACGCCAGGGGCAATTAGAAATTTTCAGTTCAACCCTGAGCTTTTTCAAATTCACTATGTTTTGACGGTCCAAATTCAGCCTAATGCTTGCTAAGATCAGGCCAGCTTCAAAAATCCAAGCCCAGTTGCAGCAAATTTTCATGAATAATTTGTGCCAAAGAGCAAAAAATAGGAGCATATTTGAATACTAGGTAAAGCTATATTCCTCATACTAACCCAGTGCCCAGCCAACCCCCATGTTTTGTAGCACATGGAACAGACGCAACGTGGTACCTTATGATCCTTATTCTTCAAAATGTATGTTAGTGGCGGGGTTGTATGATTATATTATTACAACTAAATGTATATTTAGAACAATTCCTTATTAAACAAAATAAAGGTATATTTTCTCCAATTAATCATATACAAAGGCATTTCTATTAGTATGGTCCACCACTCTATCTATTGAAGCTTGACCTGCTAAATTCTTAATTTCTCTAGATTTCAATTCACCATTATATTCAACATTTTTTATGTGCTGATTGATCTAGTTCTCAAAACACACAAAAAAAGGCAACAAAAGGTGAAAGACAAATCATGGATCAACGAAGCCCTATCAGGGGCTTACTTAAGAATAAGAAACAGAAACCTCATTGAAATACCAAAGATAAATCATGGATCAACTAACCCCTGTTAGGACATGCTTAAAGATAAGAAAGAGAAACCTCATGGAAATAACAAAGATCAATCATGGATCAAGTAAACCTTTGGACTTGCTTACAAAAAAGAAAGAGAAACCTCATGAAAATATCATAGTTTAAGGTTGATTCTATCCATGGAGATGCCATAAATAATTCCATTCCAAAATTGGGATTTTTTGAAAACAGGATGCAGTTACTGATTTATGATCTGTAGGCATGTACAGAATGGAAACTTCTCCTCAATTCTATGAGAATTTTATGAAGGCCTTCCATTTGCTTCATGTTTTGCAATGAAAGGATACCATGTTTCTAGATTGTACATTTCAAAACAAATTTAGTTAGGTCATGGAGGATTTCTTGAGTCATGACTATGATTTAGAATCACATTTTTAGAAAATTTGTTTGCTTAACCCATAACTCAAGTCATGTGACTAGAGTCTTTGACTCCAAAATCTCAAAATTTAGCGTCAGCCTTGAGAAGTATTTTGTAGTTACCACTCCACTTCCTCAATCATCGGCATCATCCAGGACCTCACCCGCAGCCAGCCACCACACAACCGCCGTTGATGTCATCCAATCTGCTGGCCACCATCGACTCTGCCTAGTGGTGGCATGCTGGTCTGGCCGGCCACTAACCACCACTAGTGGAGTGGTGGCAACCAAGAGAAATATTTTTGGTTCACAGCCTTCCGATGGCCATCAGGCGCTGAACTAACAATGACCAACGGGAAGCCCAAACAATGCTTGCCAGATTGAAAAATCGCAAAACAAATCGAAGGCCGTCCTTTAACCAGATCGACGAACCCTGACCACCACCACAATGACGAATTTGCTCCGGAAAATCCTAATCAGTTGTCATCATCCATCGATGGTTGTCTTTTAGCCAGATTGAAAAACCAGATTGAAGCTTATGCTTTTCTAAAACAGGGACTTTTCCAAAGTTATGGCTTTTTCGTTCCTTCAGTGAAAGCTTGACCATCAGCAACTGGGAGACAAACAACAGTGGCCATTGTCACCGGCCAAAGCCTATGGTGGTGGTATGACGCTTGCCAGTCACTGTAGGGCTCAAATGCTTGTTCATCCACTGGTGACCGCCAATGACAGTTTGTCGATGTTGCTGGCAGATGCCCTTAACAGTGGTATCACGGCCGACTAGCAGTGATGCCCAACAGCGGTGGTACAACTGACCAGTGAGAGCTTGTATGATTTGGCCTTTTGCAAATTTTACAAAACATATGATTCAAAATACCACCATCCAAATAGGTTTTAAAAGTTAATATAACTTAAAAAATTTTGACTTCAAACGTAACTACAAAAGTTTGACTCACAATCAAATTCTCACAGTCAACATCCAAGCAGACCTGTTCAAGTGACACTAGGCTTCCCTCTCTTCTAGACTGCTTCAGCCAGCTAATTGTTACTAGTGACAAAATTTTGTTTCTTTTTGTATTTAGCAGTGCTGATTGTTTTAGGCTGGCCTCAATTCCTATCTCATGTCACAGAAGTAGAATAGAGATTCTTAAGTATGCATTAACCTTGCTTATTTTATGAAAGAAAAAAAAGTAGGTTCACAACTTTTGTTCCTTAACTTTGTGTACCATACACCTCACATCTTTAATAGGGTGAGTGAGTGGGGCAAATATATTGATTGGGCATATATCCCATCTCATGGAAGGACCAGAGATTGAATAGAAAATTATCCAACAGGACTCGCTCATATAAAATGTTTTGGTCCATTTATTAAAATACTTCTAAGGGCCTTGTTTACACTGTGTCTTCCTTGTGTTTGCTTCCTCGAAGGTGAGAAAGGTCCTTTGCATGATAATTTTAAAAATGGTCCTAATTTCAAATTTTATTTTGTTTCAGGCCTTATTTTATAATTTTCCCAATATGGAATAGGACACAGTTATGTAATTAGGAAATTTTACTGATTCTAATACAGGATAGGACGAAATTGTTAAAATCTATGAAGTGGCATATATCCCATTATTTATGAATATTAATTTCAATTTTCATCACCATTTAGAGTCGCATCCCTAGCTCAGTTGGGGAGGGTTGCTCACTGATTAACAAGAGGGAGAACGGTCATTGGTAACCAAGAACTTAACCTTATATCCTTTTGGACTTCCGTGCTAGTAGCTATTGACAACTACCACAGTACACTGCTACAACAATGTTAAAGACATAGTTATTACATGTACAGAAGAAAAAAGCCTATCAACATTTATGGTCTGTATGGAACTCAATTTTTGAGGGAAAGGAGAAGAAAATAAAATTCTTGAAAAAAAATCAAGTAGAATATCAAATTTCTTATTAATATTTAGATAGTTATGGCATTATGAGATGGTGAAAGATGATCAGATATGGAAGAATTTTAAAAAAAAAAAAAAGGAAGGCTTTTTCTTTACTACAAAAGCTTAGCCCTAAAAGGCGCATCGAGGAACACGAAATTGACATCCATCAAAAACAACATGCAGTTTCACCCCTCTTTTTTAACACATTTGTCTTTTTAGCCCTTCATTTCTGCCTTCCTTTTTATGTTCTGTTCAAATCAGTCTAGGGCATTAAATTTCCCATAATTGATTGTTTTGCAGATTTGTTGGCAAAAAATTGTTCAATTTCATTCAACTACTAAGAATTTAGTACTAAAAATCCATTGAAGATTTAATACCGCAAACTTTATGTTGCAAATTCTATGTCAGGAAGAAGGTTTATGGTGTTGGAAAATGTGATAATTACCCATAAAATTTGAAAGAGAAAATATAGTCTACTAGAGTGCTCATATGGAGGATACAATTTCCCAGCCTAGAAGTCCAAGTCCCGCTCCCAATAATACCCATCCTGTCCTGATATCATCAACTGGCCCAACTCAAGAAAGATTACACCCTTTTCATATATGTTGCATACTTATGTCATGATTAAAACAGGAATAGAAAAGTGCACTAATAATGATACCTGCAACTTTTGACAATATTGCTCTGCCAAATCTTGAGGGCAATGTGCAGTTGGGAAACCTTTGGATACAAAATGAACAAGAAAATCATTGCCAAACTTCTCATACATGACTTTCTGAGCCACAACTATCTCTCCAAACAAAACAAGCTGCCACACAAATTAAAAATATTCATGACTATTTGAAAATTAGCCTGACAACTGTAACAAAATTACCAGTTGCTCCCCAATGTCATACAGAGTGCTTACACAATAAACCAATTCTACTATAAGTTTAATTGCAACCATCATATTAGTTTTCAACTACATGCTAAAACATAAAATTCAAATTCATGCAAGTTGGAGTTGCACAGCAATTCATCAACCTATATAGGTAATTCACAGCTACAAGACAACAAACATAAGTAAATGTTAATAGTTAATAGTCATCCATCTAGTAACCTTGCCTGAGAGCATCAGAAATTACTTGCAATCCATCACCACATTACAAGGTGAAAAAAAATAGGGAAAAAAAAAACCACGGAAATGCCAAGAGAAGTCCATCTCGCAAGCTAGCCTGACACTAAATCCAGGTTGTTGTATCCTTTATGCAAAGTGAAAAAAGGAGTGATTTGTAAAAATGAGTTATGTGTTCTGTTGAGCATTTTTAACGCAGAAAGAAGGGAATAGCCCTACTTCAAAGAGGGTTCTTTTGAGAAATGCCCTAGAATTTTTAGGGATGTTTTATTCAAGGCTTTTTAGCCTCAAAAAAGTCTTAAATCAGGGCCCTTTTCAGGGATTTTGGTTATAGAAGCCCAAAATTATTTCTGTCAAAGCCCACAGACCAAACATCTAAAGACTGGGCTTCTTTCAAGGAAATCTTTTTCTTTTTCTTCCAAAAAAATACATAAAATAAAAAAATAAAAATAAACTAGTCAAAAAAACCCTAAAACTGAACATGGTGAACCAATTTTCCAAATTTGGAGCACCCAACACCCAAAAATATTTTCTATCCTCGCCAAGCAGCATAAGCTTAGAGAATCCCATATTCAAATTACTGAGATCAGAAGCCATCCTTCAATACTTCATCCAACTTTATACTGATTACAATTTAAGCATTGAATCTGGTATCTTAAGGATTTTGTATACTTCATCCAGGTTGCAGGTATTTATATTAATTCCAATTAGCAATGCTTGATCATTTGATCAACTTCTATTCCTGGCATCTTGTTAATCAAAATTCCACCCAAAAAATGCACATAAAAGACAAACAAACAATATTATTAGCTCAGCATCCATTAAATAAGACACAAATATTGCGAAACATCTTAGATTTCCTGAATGCTACTGATGATAGGCAGAACAGAAAACAAAAAAAGGCAAATTTGTATAGGCACCAGAAGTGAGTTACAACTAGCAAGAAGTATTTTATAAGATGTCATAGGTCTTAATATTATGAAAAATATCCTCTTCCTACTAAACTACTTAAATGTCATGGTGGTTTGACCAGCTCTGCCACACATCATTATTACATCTGACATATCACATCAGGATCTCATCAGCCTTTTTCTTCTGTTCTTTTTGGGTCACCTGATAACCTTTATTACCTGACTCATACCCCTAAAAAGGACAAAGGAAAGAAATCAGCACCACTAAATCTGAGAATCAAACTTGTTATTTTAGCTTCTCGGGTTTCTCTTTGATGGTAGAAGAAATATATGCACCTATACACTTTCATTTTCCAATCACATAACCATAGATATTAAAGATACAGCATGTTTAAATGTCAGAGACATGTCCAATTGCATGCAAATTAGATACATTGCTCATTTCTTAAGTTTAGAGAGGTTCAACTGCATACACAGTGATTACTGAGCCCTGGAAGGCTGGTATTCATGGATCCATGTAACCTGGCTGGGTAGATATTTAGTCATCTTAAGAACGAATATTTTATCAAATGGAGAAAGACACCTAAACAAGTTAATGTAATTTGGAAGCAATTGTTACGAATGCATTTGTGAGCAAGACATATGGGAGACATGGACCACAAAAAAAGGAAGTCAATAGCGCCAAAAAGTGGGAAGGAAGACAAACCATGATTTATTCCTAATCAGAACAGTTTATTTTAGTAAGTATTTTCATTGTAATTAAATGTCCTTAATTTTAATTTTCCTATTTTGCAAGAATAATTCCCTTTGTAATCTCTGTTTAAGAGAACAATTGGGGAAGAATAAATAAAGCAGAATTTCATTCAAATTTATAGAGGTTTAAGCCTCTCTCTAATGAGTCTAAGGTTAGGAGCTCTCTCTTTAACGAGTTTATACATACATACATATATACAAATATATATATATAATCATAGGTTCTTCACGAGGCAAAAATCATAACAAAGGAAAAACTGTATATCCATCAAAATAGATTTCCCTATGCATCGCCCTATGACTTGATCCCTCACCCATGGACATAACAGCTTGGTATCAGAGCCGAATACTATGGGTGACTCCAACGCAACAAAAGAATTGAGGGCTCTTTTACAAAAAGCTCAGGCAATCAACGAAGCAAGAGTGGCAGAAGTTGAGTCACAAATGGAAGCAAGAATTTCACAACCGAGTCTAAATTAGGAACTCAACTGCATCAACTATCGCTGCAACTGTAGGAACTTGTTAATGGTCTTCGCCAAAACAGCAACACAGAGTCAAATGGGGGTATAGGTAATAATAACAATTATGGAAACTACCATTACAAAGATGATAATCAATCAAAACTGCTAGTAGAATTTGGAGTGGTTCCACGATACACAAAGACTAATTTCCAACTTCCAACAACGTCTAGAGTAGTGCCACAATACACAAAACTTGATTTTTTGACTTATGAGGGGTCAGAGGATCCACTAATATGGTTACATGGTGCAAGAAATTCTTTTTCCATTTGTGAATTGCTGAAATAGACAAGGTTAGTCTAGCTGCTTTTCACATGTTGGGTGACGCACAATTATGGTGTTATGAGATGAAGCAGGAGGAACCGAATCTCACTTGGAAGGCATTCAAGGAATATTGCACTTTGAGATTTGGTCCACAAATCTCAAAGTGCAATATTCCTTGAATGCCTTCCAAGTGAGATTTGGCCCACAATCCATTAGGTAAATTGGTTAATTTGTACCAAACCGAAACAGTTGAAGATTATCAACGCTAATTTCAAAGGTTGTTGGTGCGCGCTAATACAGTGTGAATGGATCAACAAGTAGACTCGTTTACTATAGGCTTAATGGACACAATTAGGCTTGATGTGGAAATACAAAAACATGCAAAACTTGTTCAGGCAATGAATTTGGCACGAGCCTTTCAAAAGAAGCAACAACTAGAAAGAGCGACAGACATGCAAGGAGGGTCTTGGCAAAACATAGGCTTGAACACTAAAGGCACCTACACGACAGGTGCAATTTCCTCTCCTACTCCTAAAAGTAGCTTCAGGCAAGGCAAAGTGACGGTGGCAGGTTCAAGTTTAAGTAGTGCGACTTCATCTTTTATTAAGAAGTTGACTCGTGCAGAGATGGCAAAGCGAAGAGCTAAGGGACTCTGCTACAATTGTGATGAGCCATATTCATCCGGGCACCACTATGAGAAATTATTTTGGCTGGAGTTAGAAGATTACAATGACATTGTGCAGGACCAAGAGGACCAAGACGAGTGTAAGAAGCCTGAAATATCAAACTTTCGAGCTAGAGGACAAGCTCTTTATTCAGGAGGGGAGTAATGTTATGAACGCATTTGTTGGCAAGACATATGGGAGGCATGAGACACAAAATAAGGATGTCAATAGCACCAAAAATGGGAAGGAAGACAAACCATGATTTATTCCTAATTAGAAGAGTTTATTTTAGTAAGTATTTTCATTGCAATTAAATATCCTTAATTTTATTCCTTAATTTTAGTTTTCCTATTTTGCAAGAATAATTTTCTTTGTAATCTTTATTTAAGAGAACACGTGGGGAAAACAAAAACAAGCAGAATTGTCTTCAAATTTATAGAGGTTTAAGACTCTCTCTAAAGAGTCTAAGGTTAGAAACTTCCTTCAACGAGTTCTATATATATATATATATATATATATAATAGGTTTTTCATGAGGCAAGAATCATAACAACGGAAAGACTGCATCCATCGAAGCAGATTCCCTTGTACATTGCCCTGTGACTCCATCTATGAACCGTGCACATAACAACAATCCTAAGTCCTTTTTTGAAACTCAAATACACGAATGAGAAGATTAACCGAACAAACAGATGACCCAGGAAGAGAGATCATTCAATCTAAGTAACTACAACACAATCACTATTTAGTTACTAAATTCATTTCTAATGATTGTAACAATGTAAATCATGCAAAAAACAAGTATAGGCAGCAATAACATCAATTTCCTAAGTGAATATAACCAAAATTAAAAAATGTAATGACACGAAGGAGAATAAAATATGCACACATGCACATATAGAGAGAATAAAAAAAAAAGAGAAAGAAAAAAAGAAATGGAATATTGTGGAAATCCAGCAACATTATCTAGCCCAAAAAATACTTCACTATGCAACAAAGGAACTTACAGATTCAGCATCACGAAACTCAAAGGACTTGTCTAGCACACTGTACAAACAACAATGCGTTGCAAAGGTCTCAATTACAAAGCTCTGGAAACCAGGTACCTAAAACATATAAGCCACATCATTTCACCAAAAACATATCCATTTTCGGCAGGCTTGGATGAGAAAAAGAGGTTTAGAAAAGAGAAGAGTGAAGAGAAACCTTAAAAATAGTACCTTTTCTTCGCCATTCGTCCTGCTACACCAATCCTTAATCAGTCTAATAAATATCTGTACACAACTCTAATTAACAAGAAACAAATAAAAGTAAGATTAATGCAGCACAGCTTGGGTCTTTTACTAGACAAAAGAAATTAAATTTGGAGTGAAAAAAATCGAAACACTACAAACAATAGAAACTACTACAGGAACCATGGAACACTTCTGAAAGATCTTTTTTGTTCGTGACTGATGCACCTAGATATCAAGAACTCAAGATACTTCTAAAAAGACATTTGACAATTTGTGTGTATCAACTAAACATGCAGATATAAACAAATTTACAACCAAGTCATTACATATAAAATACCTCCCTTAGACCTAGAATACTTTCTTCTAACAATTTGCACATCATAGATATAGCAAACACAAATCAAAATACAAGCTCAGGAATAAATTGCTTATCAGAAGTATAATAAGAGAGTGGCAATGCAATAAGCATCAATACTAGCTTATTGAGCTTTCTCTTGCACCACGCAAAACTTGTCTAATAATTACAGTACTAATCAATGTAATACTGTGCATCTGATGACATACAATATAATACACTTAAGTATAACACACCAAGTATGCATGTCAGCGCCTAATTCAGAGTATGTATGTGCAAGTGTCTGTGCTCCAGTATATCCATATATCATATTATCATTGTGTCTGTGGTGCATAGCTATTATCTATTAGTATTATACGCACCTTTCTCACAAGGATCTCCTTGTGATTACAAGCAGCATAAAACAGCATTTGCATCATTGAATGCAGATACAATCTACTTTCCGGGGAAAGGAAAACTGAAGACAAATCATGTGTAGCTATCACATGAAAGAATGTGTATAATGTTCGCTGAAGCTCTTGCAGTTCACGAATTTCCTATAAAAAAGAAAATAAATAAATAATCAGTCATTAGGGCACAGGAGCTACAAAAGTAAAACACCAGTACTTCAGCAAGTAAAATAGAAATCTGTCTAGCAGGCAGAATTAACTATTAAAGCAGCATCTCAGCCTTTCATTTGGGACCATTGGTCCATTGACGGATGTAAAACTACTTCTACAGTTTTCAAGCCTAGATACATTAAGAAAATGAGATCAGTATAATGTCTAAGCACTAAATTGAAATTAAAATGTATAGCAGTCACACAAAGGTCTTCACTCCATATCCTATACTGACTTTTTTCGCAGTTTAGTCAAATTCCGTTCAACTGTTTCCGTTACATATTGCTTTTTCTTCCAGACATATACTACAATATTGAGAATATATCTCAATAAGAAAGAACCAGTCTGAAAGCAAACACAAATGACCTACAAGACATTTGGTTTAAGTACAACTTCGTGACATAAAGTTTCACCACATAAAGTTTCAGCACAGAAGGGAAAAAAGATAACCCCCATTTATGTATTTATTTACTAAGCAGTAAATGAAAACTTAAAATAATACCCATAACATGAAATATTAAGTGTTTTTGTTCACTGGTGAAGTATGAAGAGATAACCCCTTGGAAGACTTGAGCTCTTATTCATATTTGTGACAGGCTAGCAGCATGTTATACAGGGTAGTAGAACGATGAGACCCAAATTACCAACTTTCAGTGGATAACGAGCTTACTTATAGGCAAAGTTGCATTTTGAAAACTCAAAGCATTAAAAAAGTAAAAGGATGGACACCAAAGAGATGGCGAAATATAAACTGTAATTTTAGAAAGAAAATAACCGCATGCACTGTCACTTTACTAATTTATAACTGCACATACCTCTGTATTGCTCCCAGGCCCAGACAGAAATACATCTGTTGGCAAAATATTGAAGATCCTGCTACAAATAACAGGATACAATCCCTCCAATATATCATAGAATACAGTGCTAAATTTGCAGATTAACTGATTGAGTAGCACAAGGAAAGCCGCCATCTCCTTCGGCTGCAGCAAAAGAGGATGATTAATAGAATATCGCAAAGTAAAAACAAAATGGTGTGGCCCAATATTATGAAACCCCAAAAAAATAGGAAATACCAAATTTGTCAAATTAGAATGATGGATCAATAAGGCATTTCCTCAATGCTTCACCCTCTCTTCATGTACAAGCAAAGGTTTTTGCATTGGAAACTTTAATTGCCAATACGGTAATCAATCATCAAAGAATTGGTCAGGAGCACAAGTTGAAGATGCTTGTTCTTTTAATGGACACAAGAACTAAACAGTATATGGATCTTTAGAATTACTAGCCAATAACCAGTTGTATGCACTGTAACAACCAAAAAGAGTTATTTACTAATTTGAAGTAAGTGGTGCGTATCACTATGGAATGCACAATTATTACCCCTAACATTCTGCACAAATAAAGGTATAAAGAGGATGGAAGCTCGCTAGAACATTGACAGATTACTAATGAGGAAAGGATTTGAGTAGATCATATATAACAGAAACATAAATCATATTCTACAGGGATAAAATAAGGAGGGAAGGTTTCTGCATACAGTTTCCTAAACAGAAAAGTTGACAGGGAAAGTCATTAAACTGTTCACTAATGTAGAAGCAGAATACAACTGAAATATAAAATGAAATTATGGTACCTCAGTTTCTGTAAGTAACTGCTCCAATGCCTTTGGAAGATGAGGAAGGATGGATGTTCCCAAGGTGTCCACCATGCGGTGAATAAATGATGTCACCTAGTTGATCAAAAAGGAAAACAATCAAGAAAATGAAAAGGAAAAACCTCATATGCAGTGACAAATATATATATATATATATATATAAAACTAATTGCTCAGCCATACCTTTAATCGCAAGGGCTCTACCTTAGGATATACCTGCAGAATTTTGAGGAAAACATCCAATGTCTGAAGCAAGATGAAACAAACAAAAATGAGCCAAGAGAGATCAGATAAAGACATAATTTCTCCACCGTCATTTCCAACATACTAAAAAAAATAAAAAATAAAAAAATAAAATATAAAGAACTCCATTCATATTCTATTCTTGCTGAAAAGAACAAGTGTAAAGCATATTTTATTGGTACAATATTCAATTTCAAAACATGTCTTTCCACTGCAAGGGAAAAGATACCCGAGGACAATAACTGTTTCCATGATGCAGACAGCAAAATGAAGTACAATATTAACATCTTCATTTTGCATGTTGATAATATTATCAGTTTATCAATAAACAGTAAAAAGTAAAAAAGGAAAATGCTGAATTTGTCACTATCCAAATATAAAAGCCTTCTCTGCAGTAACTTATGAGGAGGGACAGATGGCCTCAAAAAAATAAATAAATAAAAGAACAAAAGGAATTAAATTCAAATTAGCCATTAGGTTTCTGTCTTTCTATGATAAGCTAGTTAATACTTTATCCACCAAAATCATTGAATGGTATTTCAGAACAGAATAATTACCCAAAAAAAAATGCTTAAACAAATTGATAGAAAGACACAAGCAGTGCACAAACTCAGATAAACCGATAAAAAAAATGGTGTAAAGTGGCAAGGGCATTTAGTACTAATAATAATATAATAACAATAATAATCAATTTCTAATTAGAGTGTCACAGCATTAAAGATGTCATCTGTAAATTAAATGGTTCTAGTAGTTTAAGTACAGAAAAGGCATGAAAATTGTGGTTGAATTTAAAATTTCACCAACATCTCAATAGAGTCTCACAGCATTAAGTTCCCATTGGTAAGAAAATCAGCGATGATCATACGAGCATACGATTCAGCTAAGGTAATAAACCAAATAAGAGAAAGCAATAAATGCTTTGTAAAGATTTTCTTTTACACCCAAAAAGAATTGAAAAGTGAAAAGATAGACGAAAAGAATGAGCCAAAATATATTAACTTCAGGTGGACTGGATATACCAACCTGTCTAAACATGAGGCCTATTGCAGGTCGGCTAGTGGTAACAAGACGCTCATTGAAGCCCTGAATCATACAGAAACTATGAGGATAAACCAAAGGTAATATACGAATCATGTCAAAGGGAAGTTAAAACTCCAACAAAACTTCGAAGAATGGAAAATTGCTTAATCAGAATAAAATCTGAAACTGCAGTGTTCATATCAGCAGCAGCAACTTTAACATGTCTGAGGAAAATGTAAAGCAGCAACCAGGAAAAGTCACTTGGAGAATTTACAGAGACTTAGATCTAACAGACTCAACAAATACCTCATTAAAAGAGAAAGGATTGAGAGTAACCTTGCTCAGGGCATTAACAGCCATAATTATTTGCTGAATATTTGCAATCTTTGCAGGAGACAATTGAGGATTGTGTACTTTGGAATTTAGAAGCGATACCTCAACCTGATTTAAAGCATGACTATTTTAGTTTATGTCCATTGAAGATAAAGTAATAGAAAATCAGACCAAAATCATTTTAATAATATCCTAAACAAAAATGATTTAACTGATAAACAAATAAATAAATAAAATATAAAGGTGCAAAATAATAAAATAAGTGCCCCAAATGATACTAAAACCACAGACTACCTGCTGACAAAGAGGAGTAAGCAATGCTGAAAGCATATCAGTTTGCTTCTCTAGAGGTACATCTTCCATCCCAATTAATAAGCCAATTGCCTGTTAAGCGTGGATAGAAAATCAAATCCCAACAAAGTATTCCAAAATTAAATTGAAAAGCCAATCCCAATAAACTAATACTTACCTCAAAAACATGGCTACCATCTTCAGATCCAGAAAGGTCTTTTGATGTGCATTCCATATTTGTAAATTGAGCTACAGTATCCTGCAGACTCTGCTGATACATTTAAAGGGATTAAAAGCAGGAGAAAGGCTGAGAAATACAAACTAGAACATTACAATACAAGCAGACTAATAAACATGGTCATAGTGTTGATTTCAATTAGGTACCTGCAGAATTGTGTCCAGGAAAGGCACAAACTTTTGCTTGAGCAATTTTACAGCCCTCATGAAAAGATAGCTTGCCCTTCGACTGACATTGACATTGGGATGGTGAATTCCTCTCTCATCAAGAAAGGCAGCTAGAACCATGGGTATATATTCAGTGTGCTCCTGAACAAACTTCATATATCTTGTTATTGTTTCCAGATATACAAGAGCCACTAGCCTACTGGAATGGCAAGGAAACCTAGTCGATAAGAGCATTGGCACCACATCTCTCAGGAAACCACTTCCAGATCTCATTGTCTCGTCACTTAACGACTCTCCATATGCATATAACAGAGACAGTGCAGCTTCTACCTCCTCAACATTCCTATCAGCAGAAGGTGCAACAGCACCGGCTAAAGAATTACTGATAAAAATATGGGTGACATCAGGTGCTATACGACCCACACTACGAAGCAGAACAAATAAATCCTTTCGGAACTCCAACATCCTATCTTCCTCTTCTCTCCCAATTTTGTCCAGGGTATCAAGATTATCACGATAGCTAGGATCATACTGAATCTGACTGCGAACAACTTCTAATATTTGACCCATGTGAAGCAGCTGGTTCTCCTGCAGTCGAGAAAAACTCTTCATTTTGTTGACATAATCCGAAAGAAACGGTGTAATAGTATGTGCCGTGTCAACCTCACAGTTCTGCACAATATAAAATATAGAAGGCAAAACCCCGTTTAAAAGATCCACTGGAACACCAGCCACCTCTTCAGGATCCAAATATTTAGTGCATTCAAGAATTTCAGTAGCATACCCGGTAAGCAATGCTGCTACTTTTGAGACCAACTCAGAATCACCATCTTCAGCTACCAAGCCAAAAACCCTACTTATTTGAAGGCTCTGCAAAAGTCCAATCTTGGAACTTGCATCCATCCGCTTGGAAACTATGGCCAGGACACAACCAACAGCAGCCCCTCGGAGTTGAACAGGAAACCCATTAACCAAGATAAGCTCAAACAATAAAGGGATAAAGGCGTCATTCACAATTAATCCAATATCAATCCAAGAAATATATCTCCTCATAGAATCTAAAATGCTGGTACATAGTTCTGGATCAGAATATCTTTGCACGGAGATAATCTGGTACCATGCTCTGACAATCTGAGCCACACACTGCTGCCTCATTGCATCCTTAACCCGCCCCGCAACGGCCAGCTCTTCTGGACTTCGGGGATAATCTAAGCTAATCAATTCATCATCCAGAGCATTTAAAACCCTACAAAACATATCAATCACCACTGCACCTTTGCTGAGGTGGGGCAGATAATTAACAAACACAGATGGCCAGATTAACGGGTACTCGAAGTAAATCAAAGTCGTCAAAACCTGAGCAAGCTTATTCCTGATGAATGTAGGGCCCTCCAAAACCCTAACGGATTTCTTATCATCAATAGCCTCGAAACAAGCCATGGAAAACACAGAATTCCTGATCAAAGACATCTCCTCCGAACTCATTGACGAGTACCGAACAGAAAGCACTTCATGTAGACATTGTAAGCACCAAAACTGTACTTGTACTATATTAGAAACACTTAGACGCTCTATACATATATTACAAATCGATGAATTCTCCTTGATTTGTTGACAATAAGCAGCAGCTTGTGATTTCAGAACAGAATCAATTGAACCCGATTCGTCAAAACTTATTAGTATAGCTTTCTCAAGATCGTCCATGGCCGTTGCCAGGTACTAAAAGGAAAAGCCACCGTTACCAAAGTAGCTCCTTCAAAAAAATATATATACTTCCCAGCAATGGTGCTGTAATAAATTGATTCAATTTAAATGTATGATTAACAGGAAAAAAGAAATACGATTTTGAACGAACGGATTGACGAAGTTCATACCTTTGGCGTGGACCAAACAAATACAGAAACAGAACGATAGATGAAACTGGGGTTAGGTTTAACAAATTCTGACAAAACAAAAGGGTTAACACTTAGTCTTTGCTTGGTCTTTTGTGCTGATTTTAAACTTTGTTTTCTTATGTTGCAGAAGAGAATGCAAATAATCGAGGCTTCTCTGGACCGCCAGCGCAGGTTTTTGGTGAAGAAGGAGAGGACGAAGGTTTTTCAAGAGGTTATGAGGTTTATATAGCGAACCAAATTACCAAAATGCCCTCCAATTCCATGAAAGTTTGGAATATTTATATTTTTTATTTTTAACTTTAATAAATATCTGAAGACAAAAATTTCCAAGTTTCCGTAAAAGAACACCTAGATGGACTCTTAATCCCCTGGTTAACGGCCCCTACAATTGGCTCATTTCTGCATGCATCAGTAAGTTAGTATTTTAATAATCGTGTAATTAATATTAATTTAATAAATATTATGGTTTAAAATTTTTTTCTCGTACTTTTTAGTTTATTAAATATAATAATTAGAAGGCTATTAAATTTTAAATTCAAAAAATTATGTTGAAAATAACAATTAAAAAAATTCATAAATTTTGTTTGATAGAACTAAAAATTGAGTGTTGTATTTTTAGAAATTTTTAATTTTTAATTTTTAATTTTATATACTAATTAAAATATAAATAAAAACCATTTATTTTTAATTCAAATTCAGAGTAGATTTAAGTATTAAGTTGTCAAATATTATCATACAAATTTTGTAAACATTTGAGCAAATTTATTTTTTAGTTGATTGTAATAATTAATTTTTCATATTTAAGTGTTTGGTACTATAAAACAAAAAATCAAAAACATTTTTTTGGATTATCTTGGAGGAATTAGCAGTTATGTTTTTGCAAATCAATATTTTACCTTTGAATAAATAAATTGTAAATGGCAGTGACAACGATGACAAATAAAAATAATAATTCAAAAATTATATTTGGCTTTTGAAAATCTAATTATTCAATAAGTCTTGAAATTTCTACAGCTGATTAAAGATAACAATCCTGATTTATCAAAATATTAATTTGAAATCTCATTTTATTGAACTTTAAAAAAATAAAATAAAAAAACTTAAAGCACAATTTTAAAAACAAAATAAAGAAAATAAATCACTACACTTTTGTTGTTTAACCAAAACATTTCCAAATGTCGAGCAAGGGCCATTATAGACACGTCGGCCCATTATACTCTCCGTATCTAACAACCAATTATATTCAAACATCTGTCCAGTGCATCTTCAATCGTGGGAAAGCTTTTACACGGAGGAGGATTTATTTGGTATAATTCACTGCGGAACGAATTTGACTTAGTGCATTGTGGATTGGCACATTGATCGAATTAGTATTAATAGTAATATGTAATTTTAATTTAAGAAATATTAAAATTATTAATTATTGAATTAATCTTTAGTCTTAAATAGTTTGCGCTCAGCCATATTCTTTTTTTTCTTTTTTTTTATGAGAGAGAGTTCATAAAATTTATTTTTGGCAATTAAATTAAATTACGTAATTCCAGGTAATTCCCATTTATATCAGATGAATAAACCACAATAAATGCGCAAATATTATAATTTGAGAAATAAATTATTATAGTAAATTACAATTATACCTCGGAAAATAGCAAACAGAAAGTTACAAAATTTATCAAAATATTAAATCTCCAATTATTACTCTTTTGACGATTTTAAGGTCTGAGTTTACGAGCGGCCCACGTTGATACAGCCCGGGCCGGAAATTAGACAGCCCAACAACAGGCGGAAGTAGTGGCCCACATTTGTAATCTATTCACATGATGCCACATTTTGATATTTATTATTATATTTAAATTTAATTAGGTAAATCTAAATTTAATTATTTATTCTATATCTAAATTAGATCTAAAATTTTATAGGAGTTATTACACCATTTTATAGATGATTTAAAATTTGATCGAAAATAAAATATTAATTTTTATATTTAAATTTTTCAACTTTATTCTATGAATTATTTGGTCCTTGAATGTTTTAATTTTCTCAACTTAATTCTTACAAGTATGAATTTATTAATGTTATATATAAAATTATTAATTTAGTAAATAAATGTAATTAAAATTTAGATTCAGATTTTTAATAAATCAAATTGTTTAACTTCATATCTAATCCTTTATTCTTTATTAGAGATATTTATAATCAGATCTAATCTATCAAATCTTTTAATTAGATTCAAATCCTAAATTTTGGATAAAATTCATATCAGATTTAAATTAAAATTTAACCTATTGACAACCTTAGATTTTACATTTGAATTTTCATTTTCAAGAAAAATATAAAAAAATATATATTCAATATAATGTATTTATTTATAGAAATTTTCAATTGAACTTTATTTATTAGCGTTTTATGTTGCTTAGCAACCAAAATCATAAGGGATTTGATGCTATACTTCATTTTTATTTTTGAATCTTCCCTTCCCCACAGTCCTGGAATTCCAAAAGAAAAAATGAAATTTGTTTATGAAAACAAAATGGTGTTTTTAAAAATTTTGGCAACTTATGTAAATTTGTATAGAATATTCATTGCTAATTCAAACATCTTTGAAAATGTCATAAGAAAATAATAAACATAAATATTGCAGGGGAAGCCTGAGAAAAATTCATAAATTCAAAAACAAAAATCCTTGGCACAATCAAGTGTGTTACATGGTGACAAATAACTTAGTACTTGTCATGGGTGTCGTATCCAAATAGAAATGATGGTCCTTTTTTAAAAAATTTTGGCTAGAAGTGGGAAAGAGAAAATATAAAGGGAGGACATAGCAAGATTTAAACCACGATTCCAAATGAGTATTTTTGAGCATTTTATTTATTGGGCTTGTTTGATTACAAGTTTAAGTGGGTGTAAGAAAATCAGGTTTCAATAAATTTAGAAAAAAAATTAATTAGGTTTGACCATTTGATTAATTTATATTTTCAAAAGTAGTTATAATAATTAATAAATGTCTAGTAAATACCTAATTTGTTCCTTTATTTGTTACTATCATCATATTATTTACGTTAGAGTTGTAAACTAATTGGATTTAAATTAAATCAGATAAATCTAAACCTGAATCCAATTACCCATTTTTGTGTTTAAATTCAATTCAAAATTTTATAAAATTTGTATTTGTTGAATCATATCCAAATTTGATGCATAATTCAAATTTCGACAAGAAAATCTAATCTGATAAAAAAATAATATTCTTTTGTATTAAAATACCCTCATTCTATTCCGTCAATCATATTGATCCTTTAATTTTTTATTTTTTTAATTTAATTCCTATAAATTTGAAGTTATTAATATTATATATATGATTATTAATTTAATAAAAATATTATTAAAATTTGAATTCAGATTTTTAATATATCAAATTATTTAATTCCAATTTTGATCACCTTATTTTGAATTATAGATATTATAATTAGATTTAATCCATTAAATATTATAATCAAATTCGAATGCTAAAATTTAAATCGAATTTATATCAGATTAAGATTAAATAACTTGTTGATAATTTTAATTTAAATTAGAAAATTTTGGCCGGAGAATTATGTAGCATTATTCTAACTAATTTATGAGAAAAAAATACATAATTACAATATTGATATGAGTTTAAATCATCCCCATCTTTTCCTTTCCTTACAATATAAAACCGTTCTTTGCTCTCGTTTGGAGTTATGCGCTCTTGGCATAGGCATAAAAAATGATGCATGTGATTACAATTCTAGCATGTGTTTAAATTGGTACTCCCCCCCCCCCCCCCAACCATGCTCTTTGCATAATAGTTTTGTCTTTATATTTTTTCTTTCCTTGTTTCGTAATAATGTTGTTTATGAATTTGTATCTTTCCATTCAATCTTCTTATTTTATATTCAAATTTTCTCGCCCCCCACAATCAAAATGACATGATTTACAGTTTAGGTATTCATGTTCGAATTTAAAAGCTTGATTCTAATCAAAATTTGGTTTTGCCCAACATCAAACATGCCCAAGGGTTTTTGTTATTGTTTGTTCCACTTGAATTAACCCTAGATAAGCCATATGTAAACACAGAGAATGTAGTTGTTGTCGAGTTAAAACCCAAGACGCATAGCATGACTTTGGAGTAAAGCATGCAAAAATTTAACGTAAATGAATAAATAATATAATAATTAGTAAAGTATGCTATAATTTATTATTTAAAATTTTCTTATTAAAAAATCAACCATTTCTTGATTTAAGTTTGAATTTTTATAAACTCTATAAACCAGTTCAATTTTTATTTTTCTCTTTAAATCGAGCCAAACTGAAATATGTAGAAGTAGGAGACCAATGACTCACGGAAGCCGATCAACGGTGAAGAATAATTGAGAGGGACTTCAAAGCTTAATTTCAAATGTAATGCAGCTGCAAGTGGTAGTGGACTGCTACGTGAAAAACGTACATCTAGCGTCGACACTGGGGGCCATGCCACGTCATCAAGAGTGGCTGACAATCCGCGCGTTTCTCGCGTGAGGAGAATATCTTTGAATTGCTTTCTTACGACGTCGCCTGTAGTCATTTTTACCAAATTCCAATAATACTCCCTACAGCCTCAGTAAATTATCAGTACCCCCATAAATTTAAAGTTAGTTTTATTTTACTGCACACAAATATTAACCGTGTTAAATATAATTTACACTTTTGAGTTATATTATAATAGTTGAGCTTTGTGATGTCTTTTTAATCGTATTGACAAAATTATAGTTAAATTAGAGAATGAGGGGCAAGATGAAATTAATTTGAATA